AGAATCATCAAGTTCTCTTTCCATGTCCCATACAGGCAAAAGGGGGTTCTGACAGTATTGGGTCAGGATAAATGCTAGGCATTTTATGGTTTTTATCTATTCTATGGATCTGTCAGTGATTTTGTTTTATATCTTTGATTTTTTTAACCTCATTTTAGCCCATTATATCCAACCCCCCCCCATCCACTCACCCATCCAAATCTATGAAAAAGTATAATCAAGGACATTTTGCATTTTCTTGGCCTTCCTGGGTTTTCTCTGAGCTGCCTCTTTCTCCTGTGGCCCTAAGAGTTATCTTGGCTTTTTGTAAGAAAGAGGAGAGGATCAATATTAGTGCAGGTGGGGCCCAAGGAGAAGAGAAGCTCAGTGTGGAGAGAATTAACTAATCAATGCTCTTCTTTCTCTGAAAGCTCTCTTTGTTAGGAGATCACCCACCCACCCACTACCAAGTATGAGAAACATCACTAATTCTATAGTGAACGATTGCTTTTTTTCTTAGTGATTCTTAGCAATCTGAGTCTAGAGACCATGTCATTTCTTAATTTGAACACCCAGTATTACTTAGCACATAATAAGTGTTCAATAAATTCATTTTATTTTTAACATATGAACTTTTGAAGTCTGCAGTTGGATATTCAGAAAGAAAAAATGCCTTTATATTTAGAACTTATTCAAATACCTTGTATGTATGTGTGTATGTATGTATGTATTCATTATGTTTTTATTCCTATCCCACTATCACTTCCCCTTTGGCAACTATAAGCTTGTTTTCTATGTCTATGGGTCTGCTTCTATTTTGTGTATTCATTTATTTCGTTTTACCGACTCCACATGAGAGATCCTGCTGTATTGTCTTTGTCTGACTTTATTTTAGTTAGCGTAATACCTTCTAGGTCCGTCCATATTGTTGCCGATTACTAGATTTCATTCTTTTTATTGCTGAATATTATTCTTCTGTATATGAGTACCACATCTTCTTTGTCCATTCATCAACTGATGGACATCCAGGTTGATTCCACATATCTTGGCTATTACTATTAATGCTGCAATGAATGGGGGTGGGGGTGGGGTGTATGCATCTTTGCAAATTAGTGTTTTGTTTTCTTTAGATGTATACCTGGAAGTGGACTCATTGGGTCATAAGGCAGATCTATTTTTAATTTTTTAGGTATATCCATACTGCACTAATGTACAATCTTCTCCCATTCAGTAGGTTATCTTTTCATTTTGTTAATGGTTTCCTTCACTGTGGAAAACTTTTAGTTTGATTTAGTCTCATTTGTTTATTTTTTCTTTTGTTTTCCTTGCTTGAGGAGAGATATCCAGAAAGACATTGCTAATGTCAGAGTTTGCTGCCTAGGTTTCCTTCTATCGTTTTAGGTTTGACATTTAAATCTTTAATCCATTTCAAATTTATTTTTGTATATAGTGAAAGAAATGATCAAGTTTCTTTTCTTTTTCTTTCTTTTTTTTTTTTTTTTGCAATTACGTGTCCAGTTTTCCCACCACCACTTAGTGAAAAGACTATCTTTATCTCATTATGTATCCTTGCCTCCTTTGTCATAGATTAATTGACTATGTAAGTGGGGATTTATTCCTGGGCTCTATTCCATTGGTCTGTGTATTTGTTTTTTTGCCAATACCATACTATAATGATTATTGTAGTATAGTTGATATCAGGTTGTATGATACCTCCCACTCTGTTCTTCCTCAAGATTTCTTTGGCTATTCAGGGTCTTTTGTGGTTCCATGTATATTTTAGGATTAGTTGTTCTAATTCTGAGAAGAATACCATTGGTGTTTTAATAGGTGTTGCATTGAATCTGTTTATTACTTCAGGTAATAAGGACATTTTTAACAATATTAATCTTTCCAATCCATTAGCTAGGTATATTCTTCCATTTGGTTGTATCTTACTCCATTTCTTCTTTGTATCATAGTTTTCAGAGTATACACTTGTTTTTTTTTAAAGATATTTTCAACATCATGGGCTCCCTGCTTAGTTACCTAAACAGTAGATTCTTAAAGAACACACAATAGGGAAAGAAACTATTTTTGCACTGCCAGATCCATAAAACTAATGCAGTTTCTTCCTTTGTCTCCCTCCTATATTTTTCTCCATCCTGAGTTCTAGTGCTCATATTGTGAGGGCATATCAACAACCTATGGTTTTCATGAGAAGTGCTGTGTCTGTTCTGAGTGCTATATTTTAAGAAAGCTACGGATGTATTGATTTGGATGTGATGAGAAGACATCTGCCATGTAGAATGTCAGAAACCACACTTTGTAACTGGTAGTTGAAGCAACTAGTGACGCTGAGCCTAGAGAAGAAACTAACATGACAAATGTCTTGGTTTCTTATAGGATTATCATATAGAAAGTTTATTCTATGCACATCTAGCCTACATCTAACACCAATACATGGACACTACAAGGAAATTTATTCTGAGCAACAACGGGTCTCTATCACGAATGAGTAGACATTACAAGGGGGGATATATATATTCAACAGGTTAAAAATTATTAGGATTGGCAATACTTAGCAATGGAATCATATGAGGCCAAAACACACTGAGTCAAGTGACTGTCCCCAGAAAAAGCAGCCGTGTAGGAAAGACTATGGTCAGTCCATAATACACAAGACAGTTTCTGACTGCATTGAAAGGATAGGAGAATCTTCATGTACCTCAGAGAGAAATTTGTTAGTGGCATTCCAGGTTATAATTCTTTATATATTTTCTTGAAGTCCCTTGATTTTATACAGTGGCTCTACAGTACCTTTACTAATACAAATAATTAAGAAGACTTATGTTAAATGACTTGGAAACCCAGGATCCATTTATTCATTAATTCAGCAAACATATTTATGGAGTACCCATTGTGCCTCAAGCACTACTGTTCTAGGCTCTGGGGATAGAACTGAGAATGAAAATGTATTAATCCCTACCCATAAGAGCTTATGTTCTAGTGATTACCTAAAATTTATAGATAAATGTGTAAAGAATTAGTATGAATTCTAACCAAAAATAATTTCTCTTTACATGTGTTGATGATGGCCACATTTGCTTTAATTCACTACCTGAATAAATAATTATCTCTTAAAAATACATTTTAATAGAATCATAGTCATCAATTATAATTATATCATCTTTAAAAGTATTGTATCAATTTCAAAAATTAAAAGGAAATATTTCCTTCTCTGGAAGTCTTTACTTTTCTGGTGAAAGAAAAGATATGGCTCATATTTGAAGCATTTTTTTTTTATTCAGGAACTTGAATCTATAGTTACCATGTAATTCTGTCCAAAATTTATTTCTTGGGTTACTACAGCATTATTTATGCTTTTGGTGTCTATCTGGCTCATGAATATCAAATAATTCAGTAAAATATATAATTTTCAAAATGTAATGTAACATTTGAAAAACCCTGATGATACAGTAATATCATAAAGTCTCTTTAAATATTAGGGAAAGTATGTTAGAGGTGGTTAGATCTATAGACCTCTGTTTAGAAATGAAAACAGTGGGGTAGAGTGACTTTCCAAGGCTCAGAACCTGTCTTCTGACCTTTAGGGGTCTGTCCCTCCACCTCTCCACACAGGCTCATTTTCTCTGCCATTTGAATAGACTGTAGACTTGCTCAGGTTTATTAAGAAGACTGCAAATGGCCTGTGCTGTTGTTCCCGACACTAGTGTTCTCAGAGCAAAGTTCCTACCCCTTCAGGTCTATCAAATGCAAGGTGTCTGTGTTACTATCTGGCTCAAGTTCCCAGTTCTGCTATGGTGCAGCTAAATCCTAGCAGGCAGATGACTTTCTAGTTTTCACTATTAAAATATGCATTACCTGAGGACCTTAGTCAATAATTAACTTTCTGAGTTTTGTAAGGTATTGATCTCACTACACAATAATGTGTTTTGAGCACTTACTGGATGCTAAGCAGTGCGTTAAATCCTTAAAATGTTTCAGCTCTTTAATTCTGACAACCTCTCAAGTAGATCCTCTTGTCATCCCCGTTTTACAGAGGAAGAAACTAAAGGGAAAATATGCATGGCACCGAAAGGTATAAGGCTAGTTAGCATCAGGAGTAGGATCTGGCTCTCAGCTACCATCTGACTTAACAGGACCTTAATGTAGCAGCAGCTGCCACAGACCCAGAAACGTCACTGATCTGTCCAGCATTATAAGAGCCTAGTGGGGATGTGGGAGAGTCACACTGTATAGCCAATGCTAGTTATTTGCAATGCAAATACTCTTAGAATGGTTCCTTCTGCCCACCTAGGTGAGTTCTTAATCTAAGGTGTCTCATAATATAAAAAAAAATCATTTATATACTTAGAGAAGTAGGTAGTTTTACAAGATAATAGAAATAGACATTTAAAAAGTTTCTCTGGCAAAATTATTCTTTTTTAAAAAGAGCTTTTTGATTTCTATGGTAATGCTGAATGGTAAGCCAACCCTTTTTTTTTCACTTGTTGGTAGCAGTGCTTTTATTCATAATGTGAAATCTTTGAGGTTCTCTTGTATAGACTTGGTATTTTCATCTGCCTATTATGCTTGTGACATTGTATTATCCAAGTGCGATTTTTTTAAAAGTCCCTGATATTAAATAGGGATTCTTTCTTTATTATCAAGGCAGCTAGACCAGCTATTTCTGACAATGTAGTCTCATTTTGCTGACTTTTTTTTTTTACTTTATTTTGTTCAACCTAATAATAATTTCACAGAAGGAGAAAAATTAAAATTGCCTCATTGACAATGTAATGATATCAGTTTTTTCTTCATAGAAATGAAACAAAGTAAAACTCCTACCTGTGACTTTCCAGAGGTCACTTGTGCTTTTAGAAAAATGCCTACCAAGTTTTAAGGCTTTGTTTTCAAGATAAATCTTTCCGTTCTGAAACATTTTGTTTGTGTTTTTTAAAATGGAGTATTGATAAGAGAGTCCATTTAATGAAATTTAGAGCTGACTCATCTTTTTTTCTCTCTTCTCTCTCCTCCAGCTCTTCCTCTTTGTTGTGTGGAACTTTGAGCTCTACATGATACCGCTGGTGTTGTTGTTACTATTGACATGGAACTACTTCTTGATAATATCAGGGAAAGATAACAGGCAACGTGATACAGTAAGTCTCTATTTTCTTAATTTGTCTGTGGTTTTGTTCTTATTCCTAGTCTCTCTGATAAGATTAACATTGAGTTTGGTTTTACAAACCAGAAATTCTGCCCATAAATACTCAGTTTGGAGAAAAGTGTTTATCAGTTCAGAACTAACAACTCTTTGGTTCTAACACAATAGAAAATATTCACTATTTCAACATTACTCATCTTGATAGGAACAAAAGTCAGGAGCACACCGAAGGATGAGCTATGATTTTTAACTATAAATGAGTTCTTCCAAATGATTATTTCTTTGTATTCATTCTCTTTGTTGTTGTTTTTTGTCTTAATGAATTCTGAATTAAGACATAATATCACAAAATTACTAGTGACCAGACCAAATGAAATGTATTATATTTAAGGCATTTCTCTGTTGTCTGTCATTGGAATGAAGGAAGGATTGATGATGGTTGTTGGCCTGGAAAAATACATAAAGTACCTAAATTCAATAAACATTCACAGAACTATAGAAAACATACTTCTCTGTGTCAGGGTGTATCAGGATACCTGCTCAAGGATAAAGAGTTTTCACTTAACTTAGGGAAAGTTATACTGAACCCCTGCCCTCTCTGGCATTTTTGAAAGTTTTTAGGATGTGTGAGACTACCTTCTTTCTCTGGAAGAGAGTTTTAGCTGAGAAGCAGAAGCTAGCCACATAATTACATTTGTTCTTCTGCCAACCTTCATTCCTCTTAGATTATCTCAGTCGCTATATCCTTAGCAAACATACAACTTCAAAAAGCTTTCTCATATGTAAATAAATGGGGGGGGGTGCTACTTCTCCAAATAGGACATTTGTAATTTTATAACTCCATAGACAACTATTGACAAGAATTTATAGTTTTGTAAAGCATGAGAAAACTTGGTAGTTATATGTCCTCATCAGATTACATAGATTTTTTTTTTTACTTGCCATTAAGAGTCTCCATTTGATTTATAATCAGGACTTTTTGCCAACTACTGTGTCCATAATAATGCAGAAATAGTTATTTGATCATCAGCTTAATAGCATTATGTGATATCTATATGTATAAAAGCCTAAGCAACCTTTACAACCAGACAACCGGATGACCAGCCAGTAGCTATTATGTGCACTGACCACCAGAGGGCAGATGGTCAATGCAGGAGTTGCCCCCTGGTGGTCAGTGTCCTCCCACAGCAAACCTCCTGCATTCCCTCCCCTCTGCCGGCCAGCCCTGGTCGGCCCTGATCTCCGGTCAGGCCGAGGGACCCCACCCGTGCACAAATTCATGCAGCGGGCCTCTAGTGTTATTATGTTAGCACCATAATGGTTACAAAGACATACCTGTGACATAAAATAATTTCCCTTTTAAATAACACAGCAAAGCACACTTTAAATTATAACACAAGCAAAACATACTTCCAATGGTAACACAAGCAAAATATACTCTTTAAAATAATTTTCTTTATCAAAATAAATGAAAAATCCTGATGCACAACCATCAAGTACATGGCAAAGTCCAACAACACCATTGTCTGTATATCTCACTAGATTATAAATGTGAGGGAGGACAGTCTGTTCATCTTTGTACTTGCCACTGTCTCTAGCACAATTTGTTTTGCAAATTAAAGATGCTCAAAACATTTTTTATAAGGTTTAACAAACTAAATGTGAGGTTGCTAATAGAGATTTTAATGGATAGACAGCATCAACAGACAAGAAGTTATTATTATTGGCAAGGATTTTATGGATATATTTTTAAATCGCACACTGAGAGACAAGCCCCAAATGCCATAAGCACTGGTGTCATGGGGACTCAGATACTTTTGTCAATTAATACGGAATGTTTTCTTTAAGAAAATAAGACTGTCTCAGACAATTGCTTTCTTGTCCCATTTATTTCTGGGAGATTGTTGAGGGAGAAGAATAACTACTTTTCATTCAGTTGCCTTGAGACAAATTTGCAAATAAGATTATTTGCAAATAGAAAAAAGTGGTAATTTAGTTTCAGCTTCCTAATCCTATAAGGGGGCATATCTTCAATATGTAGTCATTAGTTTAAGTATTCTTGGTGAAAAATTCAGAAACTATAGACTTTTCTTGTTATCTTCTCTTGAATATACCTGCTCTAGCTGGAAAGGTTCACTTCTAGAAGGGAAATAATAATATATAATGTATCCCCTTGTACTTAAAATTCCCTAAGAATTTTTATAAAGCTATTGAGACGTTATATATTATGTAAGTTTTTCTACTTCCTTTCTTCCCCCAAAAATATAACTCCAAAATAGTATTTGTCAAATCTTTCCTTTTAGGCACATCTCTAACAGACTCCCCCTTTAAGCCATGGACAACATTTTATTCCCAGCACAGCCCACTGCGAAACATTGAATAGTCTAACTTTCATAGAATGCCAACTACACCCCATAACTCCCAGTAATTGCCTTTTATTTGCCCCAAACACACATTTCCACATATTCTGTTCTTTCAAGGCACCAGAGCAGCAATCACAGCGTTTCATTCAGCTTCTCATTCACCGGCTCAGTTGAGACCTTATGTAACTCTTAAATCCAATTTGTCTAATTATGTGTTTCTGCCATACCCAGCTGTGCATTTGAGCTGGTTGCTCCTTTTGAAAAGAAACCTGGATTATACTTTGCTGGTTACAGATTTTATACATATACACATACACATACACGTACACATACACGTGAGCATACACATACACACACATACACATACATATACACGCACACATATTCACATATATTCACACATCTGTAAATTAAGGTAAAGTGTTTGTAGGGTTGCCATGCTGTGCTTAAGAGAACCTCCGGCACAGTGCATAGCCCTGGTAGAATAGTATTTTGCCCTAAGTCCTTATTGGTATCCCAAAACAATGCAGAATTTTTTCAGCTTGTGTGAAAATTTTAGGGAGTGTCTGAAGTGCATTAGTCATACTGTTGGCTTATTCCAAACTATGAAACTTTCTTTTGGGGAGGTGGGGAAGGTGGGGGGAGGTGGTAGAGAGAAAGAGAATATGAATGAATTATAAATGAAATTTCTGTCATGAAAAACAAAATCGTCTGTACATTCAGCTGAGAAAATTCAATTAGGGTGAAAATTATAAAAATATATAAATCAAAATGACTTTCTGGTTTGTATAGCAAAGAGAGAAAAGGAAATATTTCTTACATAAGAAGTTAAAAAGAGAAAAGAGCCCTCCCTTGAGAGAGGAGAATCCAGTCTCAGAGAATGAACGAAATGGGTTAGCCAAGCAGAGAGGGGTCCATTGCACCCCCTGTGAGATGGGTATCACTATCACTACTTTACATCCAGGGGAACAGAGTAGAGAGGTTAAATAGCTTAGCCAAAGGCACAGGTTAGAAAGGGAGAGAGGGGGTGTTAGAACCTGTCAATCCGTGTGACGTGTGCACTGTACTCCTTACTGCCAGTCAGTCCCATCTCCTCTTGGGGTTGTGGTTTGGTACATCCTCGGTCTCCCTGGGCACCGTTAGAGCAGGTTTCTCACTTGAGTTACAGAAAAGCACTTACTCTACCTTGAAGCAGACTGATGGAAGGAAAACCCTTATTTCCCTCACTCCACCACCCCATATCCTTCTTACCTCTCGTACAGCGAAACAGAGCAGATATTTGTTCAGCAACTTTTATGTATCAGGTATTCTGCTAAGCCTTTTAGAGACATCTCTTTTTTTTGTTTGTCTTTCAATTTTATTTTTAAATGTATTTTTTATTTTATTCATCACCATTTATGCCCTCCATGCCCTTTTCCACCTGCATCTACCACCCACCCTGCAGTCACCACACTAGGAAACATCATGTCTTTTTATTCTTTACAATAAGTGTATCAAGTAAATTATTCTAAGTGGTGTTACCCTTATTTTACAAATTAAGAAATCAAAGACAATAAAGAATGAACTCCATAGAGTAAGTGGGGTGTGAACCCAGCGATGCCATGTTCTGAAACCCTGGCTATTCCCATGATACAGGCTTGGGCATGACTTCCCCAAGGGATCATTTTCTAAGTGTCCAGACCCTTACATGGAATCCCAGGTTTCCTGAAATTCCTTTTTATGAGGTACCCAGTGACCTCTCAAAAACTAGTGCTGGTTATCTGTTTGATCCCAGGTGACCCCAATAATTTCAAAAACATTCCTGACCTGGAGGACTACCTTCCATCCACCCTGGTGATCATGGGAGGAGTAATTAAAGCTGAATCCTTCACATTAGTAAAGAAAGTCTTTGCATATCTCTGACATACAAACATTTTTCAATAGCACTTTTAAATTACACTTCAAAGGAACATTCATTTTTAACTGTTATGATATTCCTCCCAGATAATCTCAGTTGCCTAATCAATGACGGCATTAAAACTGAAAAGTAGGTTAGATCAATGAAACCATTTCTGACTCAGGATCTGACTGTGACACAAATTGAGCCAAAGTCTGCTTACTAAAATACTTAGTAAATACTAAGGGGTTTGCTAGCTCCCGCAAATGGCAAAGACCTTGGTGCTGCTTTTCTCTACTTGAATATTGTTCTTTGTTGGATCAGTTCTAATTAGGCCCAGAGCACTTATCTCTAGAAATGTATACAGCTTATAAGAAGTGAATTTTTTCTTTTTTTAAATATATTAATTTAATTATATTAGGGTAACATTGATTAATAACATTATATAAGTTTCAGGTATACAGTTCTATAATACAACATCTGTATATTGCATTCTGTGCTCACCAGCAAAGACTCTAATCTTCTTCCATCACCATATATTTGAATTCCTTTACCCTATCAACCTCTCCTTCCCCTCTAGTAACCACCATACTGTTGTATGTATCTATAAGGGTTGTACTATTTGTTTGTTGCTTTCCGTTTTATATCCTACATATGAGTGAAATAATATTTTTCTTGCCCTTTTCCACCTAACATTTCACTTAACATAATATTCTCAAGATACATCCATGTTGTGGCAAATGGCAATATTTTGTC